GGATTCAGCGAAGATGGGATTCCTGCCCTCAACAAGATTACCACGAGGCGAGAAGACAGACTGCATCAGCTACCATAGCCTAAAAGAACCACTCCAGTGGGTGTCTGGAGGAGAGTCGTGAGAGACGGAAATTAACTATACTACAACTTTAAAAAAGGATGCATTTACAGTAATTATAAAGGTAAGATATAAATGAAAAAAAAATTATTTCAGGCCGGTATCTGCTGAGGCAGCAGAGAAGACTTCACACAGGAGGCTCTTTTGAGCTCAGACTTACCTATTGATAGTGGGAAGAAGAAGGAGGTATTTCAGGCAGGAGAATTACATCTGCACAGGCGCAGAGGTGTGGGAATGGATGTTAAATTAAGAGAAATATACATTCTGAACAGCTGGAGCATAGACCTCAAACCAGCTAGTGTCAGGATCATGGCTGCCGGGGTGAGGAACAGCCGCCAGTCCTCTGAGGGGCTTCCCTGTCATACACAGGAGGAGAGACTTTAGCCGGTAGCCATCGCAGAGCACGTGAAAACATCCTCCTGGGAATGACCCGTTAGGAACTGTGGGCCAGAGATCACTCAGGTCCGAAACACAGTGACACGCTGCTTCCAACACAAAGCTAGGGCGGCAGCACATCCGAGTAAAAGTCAGGTAAAGACTGGGGTCAGGAGCTCTAAGTGACAGGTGTCACCTTCTCCCAGAGCAAGCCTGAGCAAGTAACCGCATTTCTCTGTGTCTTACTCTCTGCAACATGAGACTGCTCGACAGATCAAGCGGGAAGGAATGTGAAAGGTACTAAGACAGCCAATGCCTTCCCAGGGTTAGTCTGACCTTCCTACTGACCCCTGACAACTCTCGTTCACAAGCCCCCACGAAGCCTGCTACTGTCACACCCATCCTGACACCTTCCCAGCCAGAGAGAAGAGACCCCATCCGGTCACAGTGAAGTCTGGTCATAGACTCTATTTCTATGCTTTTCCTCTGCAGTCAGGCAATGCTTCCGAGCCTTGAATTTTATAGCGTGACATTTTAATACTTTCTTAAATATTTGGTGAAAAAACACCACAGCACATATGATGGGACAGGGATACCTCAATTCATCTGTTACAGATTCCACCCCTTGATCTGGAACGTTCTTCCCCTCCATCTTTCTGGTGCTATGCTCGTCCTTTTCGTTACTCAATTGAGGTCTTTCCTGAGCCTGTTTAAATCGTATTCTACACACACAGTCCTTAACTTTCTTCTTGTTTTCAAAGCTCTTATCACAATCTAATAAAGTATACATTTTATTTACTTATTTTGTTTATAGTGCTCCTTCCTCAGTGGAATGTAAATCTGAAAAGGGCAACAGTTTTTACATATACTTTGCTCACGACTCTCTCCCCAGGATCTAGAATACTCCCTGGCATAAGTAGTCATCTGACAAATATTTGATAAACACACACATAATTCAATTATTTCATATGTACTGAAGAATTATTAATTTTCAGTAATCCACCCAGGGAACATTTGTTCACTACCCTTGATATGTCAGGTCCTGCTCTAAGCAATGAGGAAAACAATAAATACAACACAGACACTGGTCTCAAATAGCTCATTTTCTAGTGAGATGGAAGTAGATAAATTCAAAGTAGTAGAGTATAAACGTTATGAGGTAAGAAAAAGGCAGTAAAAACGTGCATAGAGGAGCACCCAACACAGCGTGGGAGCACGACAGAGTGGTGGCAGGTGGTAGGAACCATGCCTTGGTGAGGTAAGACCTGAACCAAGTGCTAAGCAAAGAAATGCTGGGGAAACATTATAGGCAAAAGAGTACAACATACTGAATGCAAAGAAGAGAGAACATGCGGGCTGGCTGAGAAATTTAAGCAGCTTGGTACGGCTGGAGTGAAGGAACATAAAGTCGCAGAAACAGACAGAGGCCAGACCACCTTGCTAGGGCAACAGGAAATCACTGAAGGATTGTAGACTCAAGGGAGGATGACCAGACCTCCATTTTGGAAAGACTTCTCAGACAGATGCTTGGAAAAAGATGCAAACGCAACAAAAAGGAAGAGACAATGATGTTTGATTGCGTTTTTCACTCTTCATCTCACCCTTCAGACTAACAACCAAATGCTTTCCACAGAGTTGCCAAGAAGTCTCTGGAGAATTAGCTGGCTTGTGACCTAGCCGTGTGCCATCTGAGAAGTTAGAAATCACGTGTTGAGGCATCACCACTGGGCCACGTGAGCCCTGCTGGCTTCTGTTTGCCCTAGGCTTTAATGCTGCTTCCCGAAGCAATGACCCTGACCAGCAGCTGCCTTACACTACTGGGCCCAGAAAGGGAACGGCTACAGGTGTCAGGAACCACATCACGGGGTGGGTGAGTATTCCAACAAGCAGGAATCTGAGGCCAAGGCCTAGGGTGAGGCAGGAGACCTCCAAGGGACATCTTCAAAGGAAAGAACAGTTTGACAGGAAAACGGTGACAGGAACAAGACCAAGAGCTAAAGGGCAGCGATGGTGGGTTGACATAAGATGAAAGGAAGAAACGGAAATTGGTGTAAAGGGTAGAAAAGGGCAGGAATCAGGTTTCATCATTCTTCACACTATAACACCAGGCTCTACGTCCTTCACAGCTGGCAGTCAATAAATGCTGGGTCGATGAAAGGATGTGCAAAATATAAGACCTGAAAATAAAACACTCATGCTTTCCGTTGGGAATACACAAGAAACCAAGGTGGACACACCTTAACTTCTAACCCTCATCTTTCAGTGTTCTACTTCCTCTCTCTGCATGCTTTAGTCACAGAAATCTTAAGTGGGGTTTCTTACAGTGACTTCAGTATCTGAAGTAGGAAACAGTGACTGCCAGATATAAAGGCGAGGATGGAATTTACTGGTTTTCTCCTGCCTTACCTCTCTCAAAGACAGTTCAGGATTTGGGACTTACCTCTCTCAAAGACAGCTCAGGATTTGGGACTTACCTCTCTCAAAGACAGCTCAGGATTTGGGACTTACCTCTCTCAAAGACAGCTCAGGATTGGGGACTTACCTCTCTCAAAGACAGCTCAGGATTGGGGACTTACCTCTCTCAAAGACAGCTCAGGATTTGGGACTTTTAATTTTTGGTTCAAAGTAATTTACTATCGGGGAAAACAGGAAAAATACAGACTGCACTAGAACTTCCCTTCAAGAGGACTACTTTAAGCTTTTAGGTAATGAAACCGAAGATCAGGCCAAAATGGGGCTCTGCAGCCAGCTCTCTGGCTTCTGTCACAGTCTGAACACGTGGTCTGTCTGGCGAGGGTTTCCAGTCCTCTCATCTGCAGCTCCTCTAATCCACCTTTACGTAACTGTCTCTCATGGATTTATGGTAAGTGGTGAGTTCACTGAGGTCAGACAGCCATAATCACCTTCTCATCTCAAGACTCGCTCAGAGGCCGTGGCACACATAAGGTACTCGGGGTGGGGTTTAGACCAGCTGACCAAGTGGCCTTTCAATCCTCTGTATTCATGAAAGGTGGAACATAGTGTTGGGCATGCAGTGTGACCTTAATATAGATTACACACATGGAAACAGTCCTGAGCCAATTATCCAGCACTTGTGTATGTACTACTGAAAAGATAAAGACATTTAAAAGCAGACACCAGCAAACGCCATGAATACTCTTTGCCAGCCAACCAATTGAATGGAATAAGAAAGACATTAAGTAAGTACACTGTTCCAGAAATAAACCTGCCACACTTCCACCTATATAATCACTTCTTTTCCTCAATTTATAACACAGTAGGTCAATTCCTTATTTCACATAAAAACATACCTGTGATATAAAAGCAAAACAAAGGAAAATTACTAGAGTATAGGATAAAAGTACTGCACAAAGCAGCAGTAGCTACTGAAAACAAAAAAATAAATTCAAAATTTCCAAAATAAAGTAATATATCAACTCGCTAAAAAAAAAGAAGCAGCCCTTTTCTTGGCCAATTTCATCTTAATATACCTATTCCTGAGAACAATACCCACTGACATTGATGATGCCCTTGGGAGAGTAACCTGCATGGCACAGGGTTCCCCCACTCACCTTCCTCTTTTTAAATAAAAACTGATGAATGAAAGCCATAGATTCTGCCACGAATGGAATGTTTTCACATACTTAAAGGTTCTTAGATATGTTTTGGATGGCAGAGGCAGCTAGAGCTTTGATACTCATGTGAAATTATTTCTTTATAGTCTACTTTGGGTCGGAGAGGAAGAATTCTGCCTCACTAAAAACTGAAGCTTGGATTCGTACACAGAGTGGATTTGGAAGTCTGATCTATTTGCTTACCTACTCTTAAAGTGGTAATTCTCTTAAAATGTCCAGTATAAAAAGGAAATAATTTCCAAACGCTGATGATTAAAGGCGGTGTATACAAGTAAACCTAGAGGGCTTCCAGTTTCCAGCGGCATCTGGAACACTTCCGTGTCCACAAAAGAAGGCACGTGTAACCTGAGGCCATGTTTAGGTGCTCTCACTCAGAAATTAACAATGAAGTTAAATGAAAGTGTCAGAAGCTTGGTGGCAAGTAGGCACAGTGTGCCTCAACATTTCATCTGCATAATTACTACTCTCATATCTCTCTGGCTTAAAAATAAATCAAAGTGCAGCACCGTTCAAAGAACTACATTGCCTACTGTCCTCAATTAGAGCCATCTTCCTCTTGAGAAGTGAGTTAAAAAGCTAACTCTCCACTTCTCCTCTCCTTTAACCTTTCCTAAGAACGCTGTAATATAAAATAAATGACAGAAAAGTTAGGGGATGAATCAACATTCACAATAAATATTAGAAACTCTACTTCTTATTAATTCCTGGAAAAGCAACTACGTATAACAGAAAAGGCAAAGGCTGTCAGCCACTGGGAATACAAAGCACTCTGAATACAAAGTGCATCAGTCCCTCCAAAGAGGTAAACGTGTTTAACTACTTTAGAAAAGCTTAACCCTGCCCATTAACAGGGTGGAAACCACGAGGACTCACCCTGTAAAGAGGATGGCACTTGTCCCTGAAACACGGAGCCAACCGGGCGTAGATCTGTAGGCTATAGTAATAGGCTGCCAGCTGGAGAGACAGAGCAGAGTGCGACTGCTTTTCAAAGCACCTGTTAGCGTCTAACACCTAGGAAGGGAGCACGAGAGAAACAGCTCAGCTGAAAGGAAATTGGCACAACCGTCATAAACCATTACATTTCTAGTCCTTACTCTAGAATTTTGGTTCAAAGTTTCTATCATATCAGCTCAAGCTCAAGCTCATCTTAATATGACTACATTAAAATTCAGAAGACATTATAAGGCAGATCCTATGCACACGAAAGCAGATTTTAAAATCAACATTTCAGCCAACATTGTAGAATTCACTTTCCGGATACTGACCACAGTCCTTCCATCTTGCAAGAACAACCAGAAGGAAGTGAAACATATAACAAACAATTTACTGGTGAAAACCCCCAGTAAAGGCTTAGCTTATTCATTTTTAAGTCCTTGTTTCTTGGAAAGGGTAAACTTACCTGTGGTAAGGCAAGGAGATAAGCAAGAGCCAGGGTCATATCATTTGGTAAAGCATCGCTCGCCAGCTGCAAGAGAACTGAATGTAGAAAACATATATATATATTGCATTATATTATTAGAGGATCCATGTGACATTCATAGTTACTAAGTGTCATGACTTTAGTCCTTTATGATGTCAACAGTAATTCGTTTCAGAGAACTCTTTAAGATCCTTTATGAAAGTCTATTCAGCACCATAGAAATAACAGACTACATGAAACTATGTTAAATGATAACCTTGCCTCAACTCAAATTATGCTGTTTGTTACTTACACAAGAGAAAACCCAATTAGTGCAGCTACAAAGTCTAAGTGCAAATAGATCAGTGAGGATGGTTTCTGCCAGCTAATCTTTTGGTTTTCAAGACCCAGACCAAGCTATAAAATTCTGGATATCAATGACAGCTACTGTAGAAAATGACCATCTGAGCATTAACGATGAGAGTAACAACACAGCTTTCTGTGAGTGCAGATTTAGGATAAATCTTCTGATTTTACTACAATTACGGTAAGTGGTTTTGTTCTTTCTCTTCACCACACTCCACAGAAAGAAAACCAGTCTCTTGCTTTGATTATAGAACACCTTAAAATATCCCAACCATCTACAACTTTTCCACAAAAATTTTTATATAAGCAACGACCTATCAATGTCATGGCTTTAATAAAGGAGAGAACACTTCCAATAACATCTGTGTTTATATCCATTTTTTTTCTTTTTTTTTTTTGCGGTACGCAGGCCTCTCACTGCTGTGGCCTCTCCTGTGCGGAGCACAGGCTCCGGACGCGCAGGCTCAGCAGCCATGGCTCACAGGCCCAGCCGCTCCGCTGCATGTGGGATCTTCACAGACGGGGGCACGAACCCGCGTCCCCTGCATTGGCAGGCGGGCTCTCAACCACTGCGCCACCAGGGAAGCCCTATCCATTTTATATTAATAAGGAGGTATTCCATTTAGGGTCTCAAGTGACAAATACCAGGTAGTCACTGTAATCACAATGTAAATCTTTTATTTTTAAAGAACGGACTCTCCTAATCTTCACTAATGAAGGTAAACAGTATTTAAATAATTCAAAGTAAATATTTCACTTTGTAAATACACCATATAATTTTTTCCCAGAAGATTCACCTTCCTAATTGTGTCTTACTTGAACTAAAATTTAAAGCCATCCATATAATCTGAGCTCAGCTGACCACTGGAGCAGTGGGTGGGTGTGCGGTGAGAAGCCAGCTGCAAGCGGCTAGAGCATCAGAGGCTGACCTAAAACTCAGCATGTCCTGCACATGACCTATGGAGGAAGAAACTGAGCTTTCTCCACTGTGCCTCTGCAAAGAGTTCTCTAAATACTCACTTCCTCTGTGTTCTCCAAATCTCATAAACCAAGTTGGACCACCAGTCAGCCTCAGGCCTCCCAAGGAACTGTACTGTTCTAGAGATGTTTTCTGATCAAAAGCTACTCATTTCAAGGCCCATTTCCACATTCAGCCCTTCACTCAGTATCAATGAGAACTTTCTCTGAACCTAATATTGCTCTAAAATAAGAATCAGAGTTCCTGCCCTTTCAGAGTAAACACACTAAGACCAGAAAAAGTCTTCAAATAAATAATTTAAAACTACAGCGCAAAGGGCCCAAATCAAATTTTATACAAACAAGTATGAGAGCAAAGAAGAGATATAAAATCGCCGAATGTATTCTAGAACACTATCAAAACTGAAGGATGAAGGACTTAAGTTGTACATTTTGGACAACAGAAGATGAAGGAAGAAAAAGCATGTAAGCTTAGTCTGCTGAAAACCTTGTACTTTTGAGAAAGATTTACTTAGAGTCTAGAAATTGCACACCATCCAAACACACATAGAAACACACACACAAGCCCAGGGCTGCCATTTTGGCTTATGTCTGCCTTATGTACTTTACCATTTAATACCTGCCCAGCTGTCCACGGGACCTTTAATTTGGAGAAAAAACAAATTCCAATAGTTTCACATACTAATAATTCTTCCCTATTAATTTTCTTTCTTTGTTGCTTTTCTTATAAGATGACCTACAACTGCAACCTTATTTAGTTTTCTTCCACCCCCGTTTTTATTTTCTTCAGGTACTTCCCTTCCTTATGCACAAAAGAGGCTGATTTTCAAACAAGTATATCTAAACCCACTCATCAAAAAACAGCCCTGTCTCTTCAGAGCTCAGGAGCCCTTATTCCAAGTGAGTGGCTGATGCTCCAGCTAGTAGAGGACCACCCCTCTCCCTCTCAGAGTTGTAGTTGGTTAGGGCCAGTCTGAAGCCTGCCTGGGAAAATCAGTCCCATGACTGACTATCTTCCCGTCAGACTTTTCTTTTTTTTTTCTTTTTAAATCCTGCCATCAACTCAATCTTTCACTCCATTTAATGTGCATTTGGTTATTTCCAAAAACCAAAGCACCCTCAAGGGATGAAAAAATATGGTACCACTGAAGATATTCCTAAGCGTATGCTACAGACCCTGAAGGAAATTCCAAAAGGAAAACAACCCAACAAAAAACAAAAACAACAAAAAAGAGCCATGACAGCATGGCCGGAACAAATGCATAGTTCCCAGAAGATACCTTTGAGAGAGAGAATCTCCATCTGAATACGTAAGTTCCAGTAGGTTTATTTTTTAAAGAGTTACATTAATTCACAGATACAACTCACAAGATGGTCACTAGCATTTCTTGAACATATATCACTGAATACAAAGCTTTCAGCAGGCAAAAGAGAAAAGAAATAGTTAATTTCCATGAGCTAAAAGTAATGACAAAAATCACCCTCAGAGGAGTCCAAAGAATCATCACTGTTAATTTTCACCAAGCAGTGAAAATAATCACTTTGAAATACAAATATTTGCTCCAAGTGAATAATAACCACGTGGGTTTTATTTCATATATACGAATGTGTTCATCATTTCAAACTTTTCTGCATTTTATAATGCTTTGACACTGGGGGGGTCTTGACGATCCTGGTGAGACTGCCCTCCCTGGGCTAGCTAGTCGATTGGCAGGTAGAGCAGACGGTTTCCCGGTGAGCACGCCTTTGATCTACAGACCAACCAGTTCAGAGCCAATTCTCTGAACCACCCCCTCTCTCTCTCTGGCTTTTACACTACAGAGGCAATACTACCTCGCCCTGATCACCTCAGCGCCAGGCGCCGGTCAGCCAGAGACCATCCCATAGCCCAGAGTCCACCAGGTTATTCAAACTCTCCATCGTAAGCTTGCTCAAGCGTGCCTACCACACCTCTCCTGTTCCTTCCCACGAAAACCCATACTCTGGCCTCATGCCTTCTGCCTCCAGGTGACCTGAGTGCCTCCCCATGTGGCCCAGGTGGCTTGCTGTGTCTTCTGTTTCTAGGGATTGGTGAGTATAAACTTCTTCCTTCATGACAATCATTTTCATGTCTGGGTGTCTGCCCACACCTGAATAAAACCAGACTCTGGGTACATTTCAGAACAACAAGTAAAACATCTATAAATGTACAATGAATCCCTGGCAAACAAAATCAGGCAGAATGATACAGCAGGAGGGAAACCATCTCCAGAACCAGAAAGTTACGGGATCAAAGCTAAGACCCACCACTGACTTACTGCACAAGTTTTTCCAATTGATCGTCCTGTACCCAGTAACTCTCATATTTCTAAAAATAGTACACTATTCTCCCAGTGAGACACATAAAACCCCAGAGTCATCTTGGACTTTACTCTCTTCTCCGCTCCCAACATTCAGGTAGTCATCAAGTCCTGCTGAATTATTTCTAAAGAACTCTTTCACACATACTTTCTATTTTCACTGCCACGAACTCTAGATTGTCAGTGTTCAAAACCTGGACTCTTTCAATAACCCCCCAACTCTACCTGATGCCTTCAGTCTTTCTCCTTCCAATCCATCCTTAAAATAGTAGTTTCATACTAATTTTATAGGAATGTTCATTAAGTACTGTGAAATCATGTCTCTCGCCAGCTGAAAACACATTTTCTCTCTCTCTCTCTCTCTCTCTCTCTCTCTCTCTCCCCCCCGCCCCCCCTTCAATGGTTTCCCATTCCCTAAAGAAGGAAAGCTAGATTTCTTATTTAGCACTCAAGGCCTTCATAAATATGGGCCAGCCATAACTTATGGTTTTAACTGATATTATCTCTACCCTATACCCCAGTCAAATTAATCTGACATTCAAATGACCTATAATGCAAACTCTCTATAAAGAAAGTGCTCATGCCATTCCTCTATATAACAATAATAATAGTTATTATTATCATAAAATGAAAATAACTATTTAAAAAAAAAAATCTGCTTTGATGAGCCAGATATGAGATAGATGCTTTGTATAAATTAGCTCTAAGTGCCACAAAAAGCTCTGCAAAGAATGCAGTATTAACTTGTTTTTACATAGGCTTGGAAAGCTATGTAACCTAAACTCAGAAAGGCAGTTAATCTGTAAAGACGGTGTTATGAACCAAATATTTGTGATTCCCCCAAATTTATATGTTGAAGCCCCAGCCCTCAACATGAGGGTATTTGGAGATGGGGCCTTTGGGAAGTAATTAGGGTTAGATGAGGTCATGAGGAGTGGGATCCTCATGATGGGGTTAGTGCCCTTATAAGAGGAGACATCAGAGTTCACTTGTAAACACTCTACTCTTTCTCCCCACTCCCTCCCTCCCCCGCCCCCTGTCCTGATGTAAAGACACAGTGAGAAGACAGCCATGTGCTAGCCAGGAAGAGGTCACTACCAGAACCCAAAAACACTGGCACCCTGATTTCCAGTCTCCAAACTGTGAGACTAAATTTCTGTTGTTTAAGCCACTTGGTCTATGGTATTTTGTTATGGCAGCCCAAGCTGACTAATACAGACAGGAAACAAGACATACAAAATTAGATATCTCTTCTTGTTAATATGTACCAGGCTGTCGACAATATTATGCTATTGCAAGCAATGAACATATGCCATATTTTTCATGTGTGTGAATTCACAGGATAAATTCCTAGAAGCAGAATTATTAGGTTAAACAATACCCGCAGCCATAAT